GTCATTCGTGTTCAAATAGGGCGCCGCTCGGAACTCGGACAGAATGCGAGACTGGGAGCGGGGGGGGGGTAGGGACGGTGTTCTGATAATTTTTTGAGCTACATCTCTGAGTAAGATAGGGAGATAAATCAGATTCTTGTTTTTACATTTTAATATCTGGGATTGAATAGGATTCCTTTTGTGTTTTGTAGTAGGTGGTTTTGGCAATGAGTACATTGACCGGCTTCAGTATGCTTGTGGTATATGAACCTTCAGGTATCAATCAGATCGATGCGACGAAAGCATGTTCAGGAATTGAAAGTTCACGGTAAATTAAGGAGTGGACTATATCATTTTTGTAGGCCCAAGTGAAAATGTTAGCTAATGGCGGGGCTATTCCGTCGTTTTTACGCCATCGGGTGATGTTGAGTTGGAGTCCGATGATATGGAGCTGGGGCTTCAGCTGGGCGATAAGTGATCCGGCAGTTATTCCCCAACTCATCAAGTAATCTACCAATGACCAAATGATATATTTTGGTGACACGTTGATGCGAAGGTAGAACACACCAAAGAAATTCATAGGTTATCTTTATCAAGTCTTTGACCGCAGAGAATTCAAATAAATCCCACAGAGTGTATGTTACTGTTTCCATTCTGGTTTGGTGCACTATTTGGGTAAGACAGTGAGTCTCTTTTGGGACAAGAGAAGACATCGCCCAGTCATGGATTAAGAAGATCAAGAAAATTTTACCTAAATCAACTGCTCTCCAGTGGCAAGTACAAGGTCAGCTTTGTGGTGTCGCATTAAGTTCGAAATAATGGATATTTTCTCTAACATCAAGAAATATGAAGTTTCCAACAATGCGAGGCATCACGAGCCAAACAGAACTCGTTTGCATTGAAAGGGCAGAACCTAGAAGACGAATTTTTCAATAAAAAGTGAATTGAGTAATAACAGAATCAAAAAATCAATAAGCATAAGCACTGCTACATTCGTTGTGCTGTTGTGACTTACACGAAGATAGCTTAAAGTTGAATGGCGCCTTGGTCAGATAACACTGATTGTACTCTTGCAGTTGTGCACATCTTTCCGAGGATGGAGCCGTATGTGTGACCTGCATGTAGGCACGATAACACTCGGGGTTCATATGTAAGCATGATTCTCGTGGCAGCTGTCCGGTGGCCAACTTGCGTCGTAAATCATGAGGCCAGCTGGTCTGAGTCCACATGTGCCAGGCGGATGGATCAAATGTCCTCTTATCAATTCCAACCACGAAATAATCTCCTTAATGGGCAGTTCACAGGAAATAGATACAGCACATGAAGTATATTTGAAAACCAATCAAACTCGTATTCAATGAGACTTTCATCGGTAGCTAGTTCCTCCGATTGTGAAATGTTCCGTGGTTTCCTGCACATTAAAATTTGGATTATCAAGTGATTTGGATGATGAAACTCTAAAACTCCTACTGTTTTTCTACGCTAATTTTAGTCCCTGGTCATTCATTTTGCGGTCAGCCAACAGTTGTTTTCACTAGCCTTCACGATGAAGTTGGTGCAGAACGTTTGGTAAGTTGTGCCTATCTGATTCGATGACAAAGAAACGGATGCTTTGTGTAAACCTACATGCGGACTCCCATCGATTCACACCCAAAGCACA